CTCTCTCTCTCTCTCCCTATCACACACTCTCGGGAGCAGCGCTTTGACGCACCACGCAGAGTTGGATTATAGTATTGCGCGCTGGTCTTTCATGGGGCTCTTCTCCTCACTCACACTGCCTACACCCTTGCCACTGACCGGCAATTGATATATGATCGGAATCAATATCTCTCCACCACGGTGACCTCTGCTGAGCTTTTTGGGGACACCGAGCACTGTCGCTGCTCTCTCTCCGGACGCGTGTTGTGAATTAATAACCAAGACAGCCTCACCTGGAGTGCGGAGTGTGTGTGTGTGTGTGCACTGAAGTGTGTGTGAGAGTGTGTTTCTCTGGATCACATCAAGGATCGAGGTGATTCACTGGCTTGGTTCCGCACGCTCACGTATACATACACAGACACAACACACACCGGGGGGATTTGGGCACCGCATGCCGGGGACATGTGGAAGTTTGCGCCGCTGTAGCGCAGCCAGAGAGCCGGTCCACCGCCTCGTCGACCTCCCCTCTTCCAGCCCAGGGGGACCAAATTCCCGGTTCATAGCCTTGACACATCGAAAACCCCTCCAAGAAGACCCAAATGTAAATTCAGAACGAGAAATTTCAGAAACACACGTCTGAAAAGGAGGACAGCGAAAAGGAGGACGGCATCCCGTTGCGTGCAGAGTTTGGTGAGCTCTTTCGGGGGATCTCGGGGCTTTTATTTTTAACGCCCTTGTATTTTTCTCAGTATTTTGTGGGTCTCATATTGGCCCCCACTTGCCGCAGTGATGGTGGGAGCTCTGAGCCCCGTTGGCCTTGGCCGCTCCCCGGCAACTGCGCTGGGGCTGCTGGTGGCTGTTCTGGTACTGGTCCTGTCCGGCGGAGCGGACGGCCAGCCCTGCCCAGCCCAGTGCTCCTGCACCGGGACTACAGTGGACTGTCACGGCCAAGGGCTCCGCAGCGTGCCCAGGAACATACCTCGCAACGCGGAGCGACTGTAAGTAATGACTGGGGAAGAGCAGTTTTGCTTTAACATGCGGATAATATTTCCCAACAATTTAAACACACTAAACAGAAAAAATCACTACAATAAGATTAATTATCTTATTTACGGTGTTTTAATGGTATATTCAATAAAACTGTGCTTCTCTTTAAGGGGTTTAAGGAGTTTACGGCAATCTTATCACACTTTCTGGTATTTAATACTCTAAATTATATCACCAGGAATGTTTTTATAATCATTTAATGTTCCTACATTTTTGATTAATACTCTTGTTGTTATATTTGTATAGCTCGTCCTTTTAAACTACATGCTGACAGCGTATTGGGAGATTTTTTTTCCCCTTGGGGACCACATCTTAATAGCGCAGAGCTTTACATTTAGACTAACATGTCAAAAACTAAACCTTAGGATCTGTAAATGCTGCTGAATCCAGCTGATGTCAATTTTGATTTTGTCGTGCAAAGTGCAGAAACACTAGAGTTCAGATTGCTTGTGTTTCATGTGAGGAAATAACGTTACTGATCGCGGAGCTGAAGTTAGTGGCACTGCTGTGGTTGTGTTGGTGGTTTCGCACTGTTGCATTAGCACAGCCTCCGTAGACCACATCGGTTTGTCTGGAGACCAGCAAGTTAATCAAAAACGGATTTGGACAAGTGGGCTTTGAGTTAAACAGGCCCGTATTTTATTAGTCAGAGACCCCTTGATGAAATTCATTCTCAATTTTCTCTGACGCTCAAATGACAATTCTGCATTGACCACGGCACACCAAGTTTCAACAAAAAAACCCTTCAGCAGACGGAGACCTGCTCACCTGCTCTGTTCTTGTTTTATTAACGTCTCATATCTCATGTACTGACAGCCCCCCTGTATCCATTTCTCTGTCTAGGGATCTGAATGCAAACAACCTCACTAAAATCACCAAGGCGGATTTTGCAGGACTGAGACATCTAAGAGTATTGTAAGTGGCATTTTATCTATTTCATTTTCTCATTTCTTTTCCCCTCCTCCTTTGCAAGATGCAAAAGAAAGAGAAAAAAAGCACTCTCACGCACAGCTCTAACAAGCAGCACCTTGCAATTCCAATAACTTTCCCTCCTCAAAATACCACCAACAACACACACACACACACACACACACACACACACAGATTTAACTGTTCCCAGTCCTGTTTCAGCATCAGGCTTATCCAGCCCTGGAGCTGCCGCATGCAGCACTGCGTCTGTAGTCGTGGGAAGCAAGCCGGTTTCATTGAGTCCGAATGTGTGTCTAAACAGACTAGCAGTGGCACCTGTTAATGCTGTCGTGTTAATCTGCCAGTGGAAGTGTCAGGAGGGGCTTATTTTAACCACCGGGCAAAGGGGGAAAGAGATAGCGGTCATTAGGTGTAACCGCGGAGGGAGGAATGCAGCTGGAAGGGAGGGAGGAAGGAAAGGAAAGGAAATGATAGATTCATGTAAGAACAGGTTTCTTACCTGGGATGGATCCAGGTTAAGAGTGGGACAGGGATAGCCTGCTTTTATTATGTGTGCGTGTGTGTGTGTGTGTGTGTGCCATTCAGCTGCTAAAAGTGAATGGCAGGGAATACACATTGTTGGAATTCCTCCAGAGATTAGGTCCTTAATTGAGTGTGTGTTTGTGTGCGTGTGTGTGTTTATGTGTGTGTGTTTCAGTCTTCATCCTAGCTGTTTCCTGTGTGTTCATGTCATGGGTAATTTGAAAACCAATTCTTTGGCAAGTTTTCTTGATAATTAACTAATTTGGCCCGTTGATTGTTCAAAACAACCACTTTGAAGACATCTCCTTGGCACTTGGTCACAATTACAGACGATTAATCAAGAAAAAAAATCAGAAGATTAATGGTAATAAAAATAATGAAAATAACTGCTAAATTTCAATGTACAAACCAGTTATATCTGCTTATCGTGAGTATACAGTCTGAATCTGTGAGTGTGTGGCTGCTTGGCTTGGTCAGCACGGTGCTCTTGGGGGAGTTGTGCTAGTGTAAGTGAATGAGTAGTCACAGCTACGTGGTTAGATAGAGAGTAAATTGGATGATAGATGAGTCGCTGTCCAACTGATGGGCCAGTTTTAAAGTCAATTCTGGGTCTCTATCGACCCACTGCTGATTGTCTTCTCTCTCTCTCTCTCTCTCTCTCTCTTTTGCTGTTTCAACAGTCTATCACTTTCCATCTCAACCAATCTGTTTTTCTTCTTTTTTTCACACCCACTGCCACCTATCTTCTCCATCTCTCCCTCCCTCTCCTCTCCAATGTCAATCTCATTGCCTCTCGTCGTGCCCTGTCTCGCTCTCTGTCACCTTCTCTTCCTCTTCACTCTCTTATCTGTGGCCCCATCCAGCCATCTTTCTCCTTTTCTTCGGCCTCTCACAGTGTCGTCCCACAAATCGCTCTGTCAGCTCTCACGCTCTGAGTGTCTCTCTATCACTCTCTTTCTTTCCCTCTTGTCTTCTTTTCTTCTGTATGTCCAATTTCTTATTGTCTCACTCTCTCTCCTGGTGTTTCTCCTTCAGGCAGCTAATGGAGAATAAAATCACCACAATCGAGAGAGGAGCCTTCCAGGACCTGAAGGAGCTGGAAAGACTGTGAGTAACCTTTTTTTAATCGAAGCAGCCGCCATTTTCTTGCCTTCACACATTCTCTGCACGGACGCATGTTGATGTCCTCAAAATCGTAGGCATACCAAGCACGCACACCCTCTCTTCACGTATGTGTAAATGTGCATATACAGTAGGATAAAAGGTGTTGGGACATCAGAACAACTTCATCTTTGTCATTGATTCTACATTGACTTTTCTGAAGGCCCTTACACACTGTACATATCAACAATCCTGCAGGTTCAGTGCATTTCACACCGTGTGAGATGGGGTTAACGCAATCTGCATCTGATGGTACGATATCCATCACCTGGTGAACCGTAGCACTGCAGAGACATCTCATCAACTTGTGTCATCCATCTGGTTTTGATTGTTTGCTTACAATATCACGTTGGCCAGTCCATCCTGCATAATTTCATGGCTTTTTTTTAATGGTTGGTTTGTATCAGTAGGCACATTGTGCAAAACCTGGTCCTGGATTTATGACACTACCAGGATTTTGACGCAGGATGTCCTCAGGTCATCAAATCTGTAAATCAGCTGCCAGTGAATATGGGGCTGCCAACGTCTCAGTCCAAGAGGAAAATTTTGAAAATGAGTCGCGGGGGCAGCCACAGAGGAACAGTCAAAGGTTGTTATGGCGCTGGCCTGGAATCACTGGTATTCAGCATCCAACCCTAAGGCAGTTATGGCATAATTAAGTCCTGGTAGTGTGTGAGAGCGCAAGACAGAAGGGGGATGTGGACCCCTGACTGCTGATATGTCCATTGTGTCGACTGTCAACTTTGCTTGATGTGTGAGCTGTCCGTATATATGTGCGTGTGTTATTGTGGCCCGACTATCAACCAGTGACACACTGGAATGCAGCAGACTGTGACAGATTCTGAGGAGGCTTAAACCCAAGCTTTTAATTAAAGACACATAAAAAATCCTCGCTGCTTACACACACATTTACAAAAACACAGACATACCTGTACACACAGAGAACATCCACCTGTACGCTTACACAGACATGCACGCGGTACAGAATCAAATGAAGGTGGTTAATCTTCTTGATAGCTGTTTTGGATAAATTCTTCAAAGGATGGGAAAGAATGAAATATCGTGATTCCCCGGCTGCTCTTGTCTTGGGTGTGTCATGCCTGGTTTTTCTCTGCTCTCTGCGGCACTATGGCTGCTCTTTGTTGACAGAGAGAGAAGCTCTGTGGGCCACTATAAGGAATCTGTTAGTGCCTCTCATGCAACCAACGCTGGGTTCTGTCCGGGTAAGCAGATCTGGGAATTCCTGCCCAGAGCTGCAGACAAAGAGGGCAATATTTAACTGCGTATGGTCCAGCTTTAACTGTAAACTTTGATAGTAATGACCTTCTGTACATGTCACTCACACATATATAAGAGCAAAACAAGCTTCAACACTCTTGCACAACTGGTATATAATGTAGACAAGCTCTTAAATAGCAGTAGCAGATAAAGTCTTTCACATCAAACTATGCACACTAGTTTTGTCTTGTCTCTGTTGGCAACAAACACCTTTGACAGTGGCTATCTTTCTGACACAACATGGCTGTTTTCTGTTGTCCTCGCGAGGGTTTTCAACTGTAATTCAGCGTCTCTGGCGTGGCATGTTCACAAACACAAAGATGGAGTCAGTCATCAATGCCCCCCTGCAGCCGCTGGACAAAGGCACGTCTCCGGAGTCTGGAGTCTGGGGGCTCATTTCAAAGGCCTTCATCCTCTGGGGGGCTGGAGGGGTCCTGCTGGGCACCACTGCCCAGAGGAGAGGGCCCTAAGCTGGACTGATGGATCAACAGTGACTGCCCCCCACAGGGGTGGAAAACGGTTCCCCTTGTCATCCTTTTTTTTTTTTTTTGCGACAGGCCCTGCAGGGCTGGGCAGGGTGGGGTCAGGTGTGGGGCAGTAGCTGGGGGGTACGGAGGAGGGGTAGGTGGTCAAGGGAGGTGGAGGACATAGGCATGTCACAACATACACAAACACATGCAGGGGTATGTATGTGCATTAACTTACGCAAACACTGTTTTTATCTCCATTTTGCCTTCTGTCTTTTTTTCATTTATTCTTTAACCTCTCCTCATGTTTTTCTTCCATACCCACCCATCTCGTTCTCTGTCTCTATTGTCCTGCGCATATAGGAATGTCATACATTCTTCACTCCCTCTCTCTGTGGATGAAGAATAGGAAAGAGAGGAGTTTCTGATCCTCTTATCCTCCTCTCACATTTGACTGGTTTACAGCCCCTATCCAATTCAAAGGCTGTGAGATTGAAGGCGATAACAGCCACAGATATGCAGAGAGAAACAAAACAGTAATTACAGGCATTGAGACGATCATTTCAGAGAGCAGCAGTGAGATAAAGCCATAGATAATTAGCCTGTAATTGAGTGATCACATTGTCAAAGATATTTTTAACAGCAATGAATAATTGTAAAAGTGATTACAGGTAGTAAGATGTGTCTATCAACAGTGCTTACAAACTACATAATTAAACCTCAAACTAAGTGATTGTGTTGTGGACAATCTAACTAGCCAAAGATAATTGTAACATGCAGTGATCCCACATAGTGGGATATGGATTTTAAAAAAAAGCACTGGATTAGTGCTAAATGATTAGCTCTACAGCAGCTGAGTGATAACGTTGTTCTTGCTGATCATTTCAGGGCAAAGTTTCAAATGTTTCTTTTCCCTTTTTTTATTGAGCAGCGGAGCTTGAAATTATCTGCACTGTGAAGACACACAAAAAGCCATTTTCGCTACAGCATTTGTGTCTGAAAAGTAATTTGTGATAGATTTTCCTTGGTCGCTGCCTGTCTGTGATGTGCTCTGAACATTCAAACTCTCAACATTTGTTATATTTATTGGTAAACACCAGTTAGAAGTAAAAGTGCTCAAAGTTTCAAGGAAAAGCTCTTCAAAACTGCTGAATGTGAATGATTTTGTTTTGGGTGATAGCAAAGGAATTCACAGACTAGATTTCTGCATTTCTTTGTTTTCATGGCAGATCATAGTGTATCTGTCATTAGTGTTAAAATAACAGGTCGGATCAGTGTGTGTAAATCGTTGGTGGATGATGTTTACTTCAGATGCACCAAAGGTAAATCCAGTACATTGGAATAGATAGGCACACACACACACACCACACATACTGGTCAGTTTCAGGTAGTTCTGGAGTAAAGACATGGAAATGTCCACAAGGTTTCAGTCATAACTATGGTAACAGTACTGCGTGTGTGTGAGAGACAGATTGTTAGTGTAAAAACTGTATTATAGCAGCAGTGGCATCGGTGGAGTAATAATTGGTTTCTGAGGTGGTTTGTTATTTCCTTCCCAGCCAGAGTGTGCAAGGCTGTAGTACTACACATCTACAAGCCTCTGAGGTGTTAGGACTGTATGTATGTGTGTGTGTGT